GACCAGCATAAATTGACTAGGTAGACAATTGATTGATTGGATAGACCAGCATAAATTTATTAATGATTTTGATAAAATGAAATCTGTTTTATTATTGAATAAAAATTAAAGTATAACAGAAAACATTTCCATGGCCTATGAAACCATAGGTTGTTCTCTCTTCAGTTTTTATAATTATACTTATAAAGGTATAAAATATGTAATCATGTAAGTAATTAAATTATTAAAATTTATTGGCTATAGAGACATTAAACACACTAAAACACTGACATTCTGGAAATGCTACAGAGCCTCAGTCTACAAAAGCTTTTAATATCTTCAAATAATTTCAGTTTTACTTTTGAATCAGAACAGCCACTTTCCAGTGTGTAAAAATTTAACATTTGCTCTATCATCTCTTCTCTGCCTATGTTCTAATTGCTTGTCAGGCAGAAAGTTGTCTCTCTGAAGTACTGTCCTCTTCATGACAGACAGCAACATTTCCACAGGATCTGCCAAAGATGAGATTATGCTGTAATTTCCTCAAACAGCTGTGTCTGCTTTGTTATGAATAGAAGCTGTCGGGGACTGTATCCAAATCTTCTCGCCCTTCCAAATCACATTAACAGAATTATCGCATGCCTGGATGAGCACTTTTCTACCACTTTTAATTAATTCCAATTGTACATTACCCACTCCAAAAGGTTTATTGGCTCTTTTTTTTTAATATCCTGGTATCAGCTTTCAGCTTCTGTCACCGTCAGAAATAGTTCTTCATGAAGATTTGGGCTTCCCAAGGAGATATTCCCACCTCCTTTCCAACCAGCACTGTATTTGTTTCATCTGTGGGCTCAGCTCTTGGCAGCCTGCAGGGCTGGCATTGGATGTGGTGGTATCTTGTCTCCCAGAGAAGGCCTCAGTGAAGCTCTGCCTGGTTTGCCAATCCTCCCCAGTGGCATTTCTTGGGACAACTGTGCATTTCAGGAAGCATCTGCTCCATTTTCTGTAGTAACTCTAAAAAACGCATCTGTTTCCCACCTCATACAAATATATCCCTTGTCTGCTTTCCTCCATCTCCCTGCATCACTGCACTGGTCAGACAATAGCAGTGTCTCTCTCGTGGGCCAAGATTTCTTCCTGAGGGTCTTTATCTGTGGGTGTTGTAATGCATTCAAGACTCTCATCCTTTGGACGTGCTGCTTGTGCAGAGGGCAGCAGAGCTGGAATTAGTGCTTAGCCCTTGTCCAGGATGCTCCAGGAGTTTAAAAACTTGGATTATGATGGCCTCTGAGGGAAATGGCTGGAGATTTCTCACTTTGTGCTTTGAACTGGGTTGTGATCAAGCAGCTGTAGCTGCCTTCTGTGAGGACAAACACCCATCAGGCCTCCTGACTCCTCTCTGAGTCGTTGCCAAGTGGGCTGGTGCACAGGTTCTCCCCATGTATCATTGAAGCATAGAGTGATTTGGGTTGAATGAGGCCTTAAAGATTTTCTAGTTCCAACCCCCTGCCATGGACAAGAACCCTTTCCACTGATCAGGTTGTTTGAAGCCCTGTCCAACCTGGCCTTGCACACTTCCAAGGACGAAACAACCACAAATTCTCTGGGCAACCTATTCCAATGGCCCCCCACTCTCACAGTAAAGGATTTTTTCCTAATATCTGTTCTAAATCTCTATTCTTTTAATTTAAAACCATTTATCTTAGTCCTGTGAATATCTGCTCATGTAAAAAGTAATTTTCCCTCCTTTTTATAAGCTCCCTCTAAGTTCTAAGAGGCTGCAAGGAGGTCTACCTGGAACCCTCTCTTCTCCAGGTGAAAAGCCTGCCGGTGTAATCCTACTTCTTGGGCAGCATGACCCACTACCTCACTGGATTGAGAGCTTTTGCCTTGCAGGAGTGGGCAGCTGACAGGGGATGCCTGACCTTTCACAGGCTACTGGCTCTACCCCAGCAATTTACAAACTCATTGTTTTCTGTTGTTTGCGGTTTTTATGTTTTGTTTTGTTTTGTTTTATGGTAATAGCAAGAGGCATCAGTTCAGTAGCAGATGGTTAATAGTGTTCAGGTGCTTCTCATACATATTGTACTGAAAGAGCAGTCAGTCTAAGCCAGGCACAGTGTTACCAGAACACCCAGATGTTTTTGGTGTATCTTGCTGTAAATATTCTCAGTTTAGACTCTCAGTACTGGGATGGGTAGGCAGCTGTAACAGCCTGCATTAGGAAATGTTTATAGAGGAAAGCAAAATTCTCAACGTGTTTCAGGTTTTATTTCTTTATTTCCATGTTTATCTGTACATGTGATTTGATAATTCCTTTGCATATCTCATAATTATTGCTTTTGTATTTTTGTGGCAAATTGAAAACAGAACAACCAATATTGTGGAATTCTTCACAATTTTTTAATTTTCAATTCCTATTGAGGATAACAATATTTCTACACCGCTTGTTTAACCAAGAAAAGCACTGCTGTTACTATTCAGAAGCGGGCTGCTGCTTTCTTTTTCCAGCCAGTTTTATTTTACAAACTTGAGCTCTGCTGATGTAGTCCCTGCTGCATGTCCTGGGGCAAAAATCATACAGCTCAGCTTCTCCTTCCTCCTGATGTCTCCAGAGGTTAGGGTGAGATCTATTGGCCAAATGTAACTTGGAGTGTAGTAGAGGAACTGCAATATCAGATGGGAAGAAACTCTTGTATGCTTCTTTCCTAGATCATCATTAAATGGGCTCAGGTTTAAAATAGAGTCTCATAAGAGATAGACATCTTAGAAGGAACCTGATACAGCTGGAGTTAAACAGAAGTATTTAATTGTGTTTCTGGCTCCTTGAACTTTTCTTCTCCCTGTGGGATTCATAGCTAAACATAGTCTGGTGAATATAATTTTGTTCCACTGTCTAGCATGTTCACATCACTTTGTAAAAGGTTGGTTTTTTGGTTTGTTTTTTTTTTTTTTTCCCCACAAATACAGTTATAGATCCTGCAATGACTTCATTTTCTACTCTCAGTGGTTCAGAGGGGATATTTTTACATTATACAGTATCAAGAAAATTTTATCCTTATAAATCCTTACATATACCAAGTTCAGTCTTGAAGATTGCCGACATATTTCTTGTCCAGAGTCCCTAGTGATATGCTGATAAGTGATGTAGTGTTGTCTTTGCTGGGCTTGAGACTCCTCATACTCCCTTCTCCTGTTCTGAGGAGGGCATCTGAAGTTAGGAGGTTCATGTCCCTCTCATCTCGGAGCATTCCTGCACAGCAGGGAGTGACTTCAGATGTATGTATGTCAGCCAACATCAGTCAAAGAGGTGAGTAATAAAAAATAGAGGAAGAGCCAGCAGAACCCAGACACAGCTGAGTCTTTTCATCTCACTGACTCCAAAGAGCATAGTGAAGCTGAGTCTGGACAGTGCCATTTAAAATAAACTATCTTGCAGAAAACCCAAGCCAAAGCTTCTTAAATAGCAGCTATTTACAGAAGAATGATCAAATCTAAGGTCCCAAATGTAACACAAAACCATGTATCTTACTTCCAAGTGGGCTTGTCACAATATGTAAATGTTCAACACATTGACTGAACGAAGGTCCAAAGTTTGTATTCCCTAATAGGAAAATACATTATATTTTTATATTAATGGTGGTCATAAAACATGTTACAAAGTCAAGCAGGCAATATTCTGCAAAAAAAGAAAATATATTTGGGTAACTGTATGGGTGTTAATTGTAAGAATGTAATGGATTCTACAAGTCTTTGACATCCCTAATCTGTGGCTGGATGTCACAAGGAGAGATGAAATTGGAACGTTGGGTGCATGGAGTCCATCGCTGTCAGCTTCAAGGGGCTAGACTCAGCTGTCAGTGTCCTGAGGTTGAGCAGAGCCCTGTGTTTGAGGGGGGGCAGGTCTTTCTTGACCTTCATGTTAATAAATTTGTACTAGCAACATTGAGCCAAAGTGGTTGCTCTGGCCTCTGAAGCACAACAGCACATCCTCTCTGCACACTGTGTGTGAAGATGCTTTCAGTGAATGCAGGGACCCAGACTGGCACCCAGATACTGCAGACAGAGCACTGGACTTATTCTGCACTTCTAATTAGTGCCCCTGTGAGCCCCTGGCTAGAAACCCAGCACAGCTGGGAGTGTCGCAAGTGTTTTGAATTCCAGCTTCTGGGAAACGTGGAGCATGTTCCAGTTTCCAGTGTCCATGTTTCTTTGTGATGAAGGGTATGAACACACAGGGTACAAGAAATATCTCAGAGAGTGAATTTGGGCATGGTATAGGCAGAAATTTCATCTTCATCTTGTTGGAGGTGATAGAGGACAAAATCTGGGCTCCCGAAGCCAAACGTGTGAGGGAGCCAAAAAGAGATGCACTGTATTGGGAATGGTGTATAATCCTCTATATTTAAAAATGCACACATTCATCTGTCTCAGAAAAAATACAATTTTCCTTTGCAGGCCTCCAGCCACAGCTTTTGCTTTCTTGGAATCTATAAATCCGGCTAAGAAATGTCAAAGGGGATGGGGTGTCAGCACAAGAACAGCAGTGATTCCTAAAAGCCATAGACAACTTCTGTGGACCTGGAATTTTATTATTGATGACTAATCTATACAGTGATGCTTTAAATGCTTCAGCAGCCACTCTTGGTAATAATTGTTGAAGCAATATGCAAATGTTTAGACCCTCAAGACTGGATCCCCCACTTTTTTTATTTATTTTGTTTATTTCCAGTTGTAAACCTATGTGTCTTAAAAACAGTGACAACCATTCCCCTAACCAGGACAGTTTTTGCTGTGTAACTTCTTGAGTCAGAGATTTGTGCTACACTAAGAACTTTTGCTGGGAGCAAAGCTGTAATTGAAACAGCATTTAAAGTGTTTGAAAACACTCTTTCCTGGGGTTATACCTGAGAGTGCTGTTGGTTTTAAGTTTGATTTAGTTAGCATGATTCCTGACACCAGTGTAATGTTGTCTGTTTGGGGTTTTGTTTTATTTCTGTTTGGATTTTTTTTCCCCTTAGGTTGGCTGGATTAACTGGCTCTCATTCAGAGGGAACTTGGCAGATCTATTCTGCTTTTGCTGAACCTCTCTACAGCACATCATAAAGATTTCCTTGGTCCAGAAGCTGCAGAAAAGACAACTGAGCAGCAGAAAAATGTGACTCTGAGAAGAGACTTCAAGACTTCTGATGATGAATTTTCTACTGATCAGTTCTAATTTAAATGTATAACTGAAGCATGCATAAAAGTTAACGTGATAGGGAAAAAAAAACCTTCTCATTAATTAGAACTGACAGAAAAAAAAAAAAAAAAGCAGCAAGCAGTCACCTGAAGCTTCAAAATGAGTGCTCCACTAATTCCAAACAAGTCATGTTATTCCCAGCTTCATGACAACCGCAGTGAAATAAGAAACAACAATGAAAGTATAGTGAATGTTGGGGATACCAATGCCAACCAAATTGTAACAAAAGTTAGAACCACTGAAGGGGATGTTAAGAAACATGATGTGACAGATGAGAGTGGGAATATATACTCTGGAGGAACAGAGAAAGTGACTCATCTGCCTACAGAGCAGAATAAACTTCTGACCTTCAAAGACTCTCGAACCTGTCACACCAGTGCACAGGAAAGTAAGCTGCCCTCCACCACAAGCAGGGAAATGGGGAAAGATTGCAGGACCAGCGAAGCTAAGGATATATCAAGGCATATCAGGATTAGCCGAGGACAAAGTCTGTCCAATTTAAAAAGTAGCACAAATGATGCCAACCTGGAGGTTGTCTCCAAAGGTAATATTGACTTCACACAGAACTTTCCTAAGGGAAAAACGTCCAGGACTGTGGAGGTGGAGAGAATAAAAAGGCTTTCTTTGGGAAGACCAAGTAAATTTTCTCCTCAGCCTGAAACATTTGCAAAAGACGGCGTTGGTCGCGTGTCGTGCAAACGTCTGCTTTCTGCATCGTTGGACTCCATCGACAGGTCTCACCACTTGGTAGGAAGTACAGAGAAATCCCAGAAAACATCCACGGATCATTTTCTTGGGATGGTGTTTTGTCCACTTGACAATACCTCAGAGGAAAGGACTGTATTTTATTCCACACCATCTACCTCAGGGAACAAGAAAACAAGTAAACCAGAAAATGTACCAAATGTTAGCATTGAAAGCACACTGCATGCTTCTCATTCTCAACATTCAGCTGTTAAGCTCAATGAGGTTGCTAGTAAATCAGAAGCACAATTAGGTCAGGGTGATAAAAGTAAAAAACTGGAGCTTAGGACTGCACCATCTCTACAATATAAAAATACGTGTCAACAAAAGATAGAGAGAATTATGCTGGTAGAGTTCCTGGGGTGTCCAAGAGCTGAAAATACAGCAGTGCAGGAACAGAAAAGCTCTGGGTCTGACATGTCAAAATTTCAAGTATCCCATTTTCACAACACCTGTAATAGAGTAGAGGACCCATTGTCAAGCCAGGTAGTAACTCATCCTGATGATAAATTGCAAAATGATAACATTGCCATCAGTAGGGAAGGAAGAGGAAGCAATGACAGTGACAGCAGGGCAACCAGCCAGGCTGGTGAGGAATGTTTTACTGATGAGGAAATGGAAACAATATTTCCACTCACCTGCAATAGTAAATCCAGCGTCAAAGTGACACCAAGAAAAAACAAAAATTTGCATGAAGTTGACACAGGTTGTGCTGAAACAGTTGGTGAACAGATATCTTCTGTACATGATATTAATCCACCTGACAGCAAACCCTTGGAAGTTAATGAGAATAAACTGATGCTAGTCAAAGAAAGCACTGAGGATGCTGTTGTGCCTGCCTCTGATCCCTCAGATCATCACAGAGCACGCAGTGCAGAGACAGTGTCAAACCAACAACCTGACAGTCACAGCAGTGATGTGGAAACCTCAAATGTTTCTGTTTCAAGTAAAGAAACAGCTAATGTAGAGAAACATCCTCTAGAGGAAGCACCAGAGAGCGGTAACATTCCAGCAAAGGCTGATGTCTTTTTATGTGTCCCAACTCCTGTGCGCCCAATGGCAACGCCGGATGTTAATGGTCAGCCCACACTATCAAACAGTAATTTGAAGGACCTTTATGCACTTCATGATGGCAAATTATCACCCTCCTCAGTCCTACCTCCCATTGACAGCACACAGTTGTTAAACTTATCCCCTAAAGTGCCTATCAAGACTGCTTGCAGCAGCGCCATCCCAAAACCTATCCTGGTCCACCCCAAGGGCTCCCTCACAGATAAGGCTGGTGTGGACAGTGACTGCAGTGAAAAGCTGGAAGAAGGCGTTGAGATAAAACCTGCCATCCCCCGGCCTAAGCCTGTGAGACCTAAAATCATCACGTACATTAGGAGAAACCCTCGTTCCATAGAGCAGCTGGATCCTTTGTTCGCGCCGGCAGGGCTGCCCTTCGACGGCCCCGCGTGCAGCGTGCCCGTCCCTGCGGAACAGAAGGCGTCCAACGGAGGGGAAGCGAAGCCCGCCAGTGTCCTGTATGACAAATTTAAACCTGACCTCCAGAAGCCAAGGCTCTTTGGTTCTGGACTAGTAGTGTCAGGAATTAGGCCCCCAGGTCATCACTTGGGTCCGATGGGCGAGAAGTTTCTGCAGGAGGTAAGTTTCTGCATCTTAGACAGCTGCTTTTTTGCGCCAGGTAGTGATTATTTGCTTGTTTGCCGCTGCCAGAAGTTGGTTCTCAAACCTCAAATAAGAAATAAATCCTAAAACAATGTGTGATCATTAGGAATAAACTTACCTAACTGTTTCTAGTACTGACCCTGTTGTGATATCTTAGCCATTACTGGAAGTCGTTACTGCGTTCTTCCAGTATTTTCCAGCAAATTGATCACCTGCTAGTATGATAAATAGGGATGTTTAGAAAGAAAAAGACATGCTGAATTGAATAAATAATCTTTTTGGTTTTGCTTCCTGAAGAATAGCTTTGGGAAATGATTGTAATTTGCCCAAGACTCTTCCTTCCTAATGGGAAAGTTGGCAGGATTTTGTAGACAGAGCACTAGAGGTCTAAACTAATTCCATTCTGTTTAGCTGGGTGGAAACCCAGGGACTGTCAGAGCTCTTTTTGGATTACACATATAATACAAAAGAAGATTTACTTTTGACTAATTTTAATGCTGTTTCTTACACTGACCTGCACCTCAAAAAAGATTTTTTCTTTTCCCTGGAAAGCCATCCTAAGCAGCCAAAATGTGATGGAAGTCCCTCTAGACGCCTCTGGCTCCAGATATCTCACTGTGTTTCTGCCTTGCTAAACTGGGCAGGAGCCTTGAGTTCCCAAAATTCCCCCTGGGAGGTGAGTACAGTGGAGGAAGGATGAGCTTGCTTGGTAGGTGGAGGAAGGACAGGAAAGAACAAGCCGTGTCTCTCATGTCCTCTTGCATCCACTGCTCGGGACCTGAGGTAGTTCAATAACCAAGCTTTTCATACAAACACTGAAGATAACACAAATTATTTTATTTGAAGGAGTCTTTAAAAAAATGATATGGTTTTTTGTTCTGTGTCTTGTGGTGTTATTAAGGCTATTTTACTCCCTACCTCATTCTACATACGGTATAGATCCAAAGAACAGCATTGAAATAAAAAATTTAGTGACTCAGTCAAAACCTGGCAAATACCCAAATTAAGATACTGTGTGTGAGTGTAGATTGACCCTTATGGCATATTAACTAGAAACCCACTGAAGTGAGCAAAGATTATAGTTATTTCTTATCACAAGCACAGAAAGAACAGTACTTGCTGTCCTTTTTCTTTTAACTTCAGTTTTCAGCTCTGTCCCTTGTATTTCATGTCCAGGGAATGATTTACTAAAGTCTTTGGGAGATTGTCTATTCCAGCCATCATTAGTATATTTTCACAATTGCCTTGTAAGCTGAGGGGAAATTACTAGGTTACTGCTGTTGAGTGCATGGCAATGGAATGAAAGCCAGAATGACCCAGACTGTGCGCTGGCTGTTTGACTGTTTCTAGGGTGGCATGACCCTCTGAAGGCCACAGGTGTCTGTGAGAGCTGGGCTTCAGATAATCAGGCAGGATCAGCAGACACATCTGTGAACAAAGGACAGATTTCTGAGCACTGCTGAGGACTGGTTTTAGCATGAGAAGGATTCAGGTTGTGGCAAGCCTGCAGTGTGATTTTCTCTAGACTAGAAGTAGGACAATTAGGAGCTGGAGAGAATCTTCCCTTGTTCCTTCAAGAAATATGATTTTTGGTGGGTATTTCAGTGAGGGAATATCTGAACCCAAGCAAACTGCTTCTTCAGAGAAGCTGGACTAACTGGAGAAGAGGCTGAGAAGAAAAAGTTGAACTATGGTTTGCGTTATGAGTTTGCGTTAGGCCAGGATTCAGGAGCTGATGGCAGAAGATGGAATCTGCTTTCTTGGACTGCCACCTTAAAAGCAATAACCTGGCTGTCCTGCCAGCTCGAGGAACACAAAGGGGCCTGATTTGGCTCAGTATGCATCAAGAGAAAGGAAAATGATCAATCCATGAAGGTGAACAGATGCTTAAAAGAGCAGCTGTGCACAGTGTGGGTTAGTATCAGATGAGTGATGTGTAATCCAAAAGAAACCAATTAGGACACACTGAAATAGATCCAAATCACTGAGCTGAAGGAAGAATGTGGAAGACTCAGGGGTTTTGGAGACAAGGAGATTCTGGCACGATGGCCACTGTCTTTGTTGGAGAAAAAATCCCAGATTGACCTATATCACACATCCAGTATTGTCTTTGGAGAGCTTTGGTTAGCACTTTGTAGCTCTTTATATAGCTATGATAGTGTTAATAGCTGCAATCTCTAAGCATCATTCAGCTAAGTGGTAGGAACTATTAAATATCCCTCTGGTTGCCAGGCGTAGAAGAAATAGGAAGGTGCTGTATTGGCAGGAGACTCAAAGAAAAGGCCTGGATAACTCTACGAGAAAGACTCGAGGGCTGCCTTTGTGCAGTGAGAAGCTTGCAGGGCTTCTTGAGCTGCCTGTGCCAAAGCCCACCCCGGGCAGCTCAGACAAAATCCCAACTCCAGCATGAAGGCAGTCCAGCGGTGCTGAGGGGTTGGGTCCACAGTGGAACTGAGTTCCACTGAATGGGCAAAAGAATGGGCAAAATAAAAGAAAACCTCTCAAGGTGAAATGCAAAATGCTTAAGAAAACCAGTCCTTTTTCAGTGCAGGTCACTGTTGTCCACATCCTTGATCACAACATGGGCTCCTCATCTCATTGTGGACCTCACCCTCTTCTAGTCAGCACCAGCAGGTGTTTATGGGCTCTTTGTTCTCCCAGTTGCCTCTGTGGGAAGTTACAGGGCAAATCAAGTCACAGGGACCCAAAGACTGTAGCTGTCCTAGTGAACTGAACAGTGGAATGACATGGCCTCCAAGGCTCAGGGCAGGTTGATTGCTGGACTGGGAGCATGCTTCCCAGCTCAGGATCCAGCTCTGCCAGAGCGTGCTCACCCAGAGGCTGCTGCCACCATGGATCAGCCTGGTCTACAGACAGAGAGTTTACTCGTACAGGTACAGGCTGTGCACTGTCAGAGAGTGGTCACTGGCCACTTTATTCACTGTTTTATGGCTGCTGCCGAGAGCCCTGACTTGGTGAGGGTCTGTGAGGAGGTCTGCTGATCACCAGCTCTCCTGCCTGCCTCACCAATACTGTGACAGCCCCATTCATCTACCCCATTCATTCTGAGTCTCTGCCCCAGCAGACACATCACTGTGGTCCAGAGAAGATGGACTAAAGTCTGTTGAAACAAAAAGCCTGCTGAGGTAAAAAGGACTAGGAGGAGTTGTTTTATATATAGTCAAACCAAAAGTTTCTCCCCTTGATCCTGTTATTTGAACTGATGTTGCAAACTCTTTTCCCAAAGAGTTGCCTGAAGCAGGCACTTGACAAGCAAATTCTTCCTCGAGGCGTTAATGTTTGATGATGTTTTAAACAAAGTAACATGAAGGAAAGTGTTGGGCATCCGTACCTGCTGGCCATGCTGCCAGCTCTGCTCAGGAATACCCAGCCTGTGGAAATTCCTGTATGCTCAAAGTATTTGTAGCAGACTTTTCTGGCTCATTTTAACAAATCCATTAATGGGTGTGTAGGTAATGAGCAGACAGCCCCACAGAAGAAAACTCTGGGCTGGCCTTCTTGGTGGACAGGCTGCAACAGATGGTTTCCCTAGAAGTCCCTCATACAAAAACCTAGTACAGGGTGCTAACAGGGGTCATATAATCCACATCTTTCTGAAGAGCTTTAAAATGGCAATGATTTTATACAATTCTGTTGAGACCAGTTGAATTTTGCACTTCATGAATTCATAGTTAAATAGAAAGGAAAAAATAGTGTATCTTCATAGCAAGTTCATGTCCTCCAAAACTAGGGTCTTCAAAAAATAGCATTTAATTATTGAGAGATATTTGGGCAAAATCATTTGGACTTGATTATCTTAAGGGTCTTTTCCAATCTAAATTATTCTGTTCTAAGTCCTTCTCCTTGAGAAGGGCTCTTTCCTTGAGAAGAGGTTTTATGCTTGTGATTGATTGCATTTGTGTCCATGTTTGTTGCCCTTCTCTGTTACTCTTAGCATACTGTCAATAAAGAAAAAGAAATGGGGTGAGAGAAGATTTGAATAAACTGGCCCAGTTTATCATAAAATGCTTATTTTCTGTGTTTAATGATTCTCTCTTTTTCTTATACTGAAATACTTGGCATTGGTGCTGAACTTTCATTTAAGTATGAAATGATAGTGTGCATAGTGTAATCTGATAGAAATAAATTTATCAGGGAGAGAGAAGATAACTGAGGCTTATCCAGAAAAATAATCTCATATCTAGAAGCTGAAAGTAAGAAGCCAGACATCTGCAGTTCAAGTCTGCAGAATCATTCATATTATACAGCAAAAAACTGCATCCTAACTTCAAATAGGTCACAGGAGTATAATAAAAAAGAAAAGAGAAAGATCTAATGGCAGGAAATAGGACTGCAAATAGAGGGAAAAATATAGGGCAAAACTATACAGCTCAGTGTTTGTTGCATCTGCCCTCCTAGTTCCTGTGCAAAGACCTCAAATATTCTTCTATATTTCATAGTTTAAGGCCAATCTTGTCTCTTAGCATATTAAAGATTTGCTAAATTAGGATTAGAGCTCTTGAAGGAGCTAGGATCAAAGCTTTTATAGCCAATGTTGAAGTGCATATTCTAATGCTTATAATTGCTAAATAGAAATTGATTTGGCATATTATATGCATCATAACTTACAGCAGAGTTAATTAATTGGCAGTTACATTTCTTCCTAGGTAGCCCGTGGCACTTTTTGATTAATTTTTAAACAAATTTAGTTTCCTATTGCCTATGTTTTTTTTTCTTTTTCCGTGGCCTAAATGGGATGACTGAAAAAATATTCATAAGTCCTTTCTACATGATGATGATATTGCATTTTATAAGAAAACGGTGAAGAAGTTGGACTCTACTCAGAAGAGCAAACAATTCTTTGCAAATGTGAGAAATGAAAACTCTGCACTCTTGTCCTGAGTCACGAAGCAGCACAGAAAAGTGGGAGTCAGAGCCCATCTTGAATGCACAAAGACACAAGGGCTGAATCACAGGACCAGATCATTCCTCGAGTGCAAGTTCAGTGCTCTGAGCCAGCTATGAGCTGGAAATATTTCCAGCTTGGGACTTACACTGCTGTTCTTACAGTAAATGCCCATTAAAATACTGAGAGATTTGATGGTGATTTTAACAAAGCAGCACCTATTTGTGATAAATAGCAAAGGTTTCACATTTGCAAACCTGATAGTTTTTTCCTCCTGTTCTCATGGACATATGGGTTTTCTAGCTCTGATTTGGAATATTCAACAGGCCTCTGAAAGCATAAATTAGAGAAATGTGCTCACATCCACAACCAGGTCTCTTTCCAGGAATTAGAGGGGCACAGATGACAATGAACATTTTGCAGTGAGAACATACTGAGGGTTTTTTTTTTTTTTTTTTTTTTTGTCACAGAAATTATTTGGCAGTACAATTTCTCTGATAAAATATACCTAAAACACCACCAGCTTTATTTTTAGCTAAGTTAAAACCAATTTCTCCCAGAACTGGGCAATAATATTTTAAATAACTTCTAATAAAAATTCCATTTACACAGTCTCTCAGTATATCCACCTCTGTAAATAATATAACATTTCGTGCTTAACAGTTCCCTCATTTTCATTAATTGAAGGTCTTCCATGTGTCCATTTTCTTTTGGGGAAGGCATCAATTCTTTATTTGGGTGTAGTTGCATATTGAGGGTGTAGTATACATGTTTTTGAAGAGTAATTCACATAGTAAGACCATAAATTTTTGAAAGCTTGCAGTGCTCTGAGGACCAGATTCACAAGGAGGGAAATTTAGCCTTTACAAGCAATTTGGAGCTCCATATTGTCTGGGTTTATTGATTTGTTGTGTAATATCTGTGTTAATGATTTTTCTGCAGGTTGGGGAAAGGCCTGCAAAAGATGAATTTTGCCCTCCACCGTACACCCACTATGAGGTGCCACCAAGCTTTTATCGATCTGCCATGATCCTGAAGCCACAGCTAGGGCTGGGTGCAGTGTCCAGGTTGCCATCTGCCAAGAGCAGGATTCTCATTGCGAGTCAAAGATCCTCAGGGAGTTGTCTCCATCAGCAAGGAGAAATAACAAGTGCTCCCAGCCTCTACCATCCTGATGCTTCAGGTAAAGTATGAACTTTCTTTCATTTCCCTTTACTGTTTTCACCAATAAGATACCTTTTTTTGGAGACAGAAAAATCACAAAATTAGCAACATTTTGACCTGATCCTACAAAGCTCCAACAGCACCCTTTGAGGTATGTCTTTTTATCCTGCAGCAAGTCTGACTAGGGAGTCTGGGACTTGTGCAAAGGTTTTTTCGCAGGTCATTGCCAAAGAAAGATAATAGTTTTCAATAATAATTCTCATTTTTCACCTTTCTTCCTCTGCCTTGTAAATGCCTGAAAAATCTTTGGTTTTGTTCTGGGGAAGATAATGGGACATTTTCTTCCATCATGAAGACCTCACCATTCAGTCTGGATTTGACATTCCCCACCACGTTGTGCTCTGAAAACCTGGGCAGTGTTCAAGTGTGCCAGCAGAGATCTTGATTCTCTGAAGGCGTGGTGTACACCTCTTTGAAGACAACACTTCCAATAGTTTCTTCTTCCTAGCTACTACCCAGCTCAGCATGACCCTGGGCAGAATTACAGGGGAGGAAAAAGCACAGGCAGAGGTGGAAGGAGAAGTGTACGATGTCACAAGAAAGAGAGAGTAATTACTTCTACCGGACATTCCTTAATAGCCTGGAAAAGTGTGGAAGTTTAAGAAATGCACAGGAGCAAGTGCAGAGACAACTGAAAATCAGTCATTGTCAGAGTGAAGTACAGCAGCTGTTTAACAGCCTAGAATACTGCAGAGATTTTTAAAACTAGTCATAAGGGCTAAAGTTAATTTATGACGTAAGGTCATATGATCTCTTCTGTTGCCCTAGGATGGGATTCCTTCTGATGTATCCTTATTTATCCTGTTCACGAAAAACTACTTATAAAAACCTTTGATATGAGATCTTGGAGCCTCTGAAAGCAGCTCTGCTCCAATGCATTACCTATTTTCAAGTTAAAAGTGTTCCCTAGTGTTTTGCCTAAGCCCCTTTGTTGCAGTTTGCTTCCTCTTTCATCTGGAGTAGTTGTGGGGTCTTTTCCTCTTTGCAGGTATTTGAAAACTATTACCATCTCTCCACAGAGTATATTTGTCCATACTAAGAAGCAGGAGAAATTTAGAAAAAAATTAGAAAGGAAATGCACCAGAGCATCTTGACTTTACCCTGAGAGGACAGTCTCAGTCAGTAATACAGGTTGACAGGATTTGGGGCTTATCAGAAAATCAAGGTTCTCTGTAATACACTGCCTCTTGCCAGTATCCTTTACTATCTGACCCTGCATGTGGAGTGTATCTGATGCCGTTAGCAGAAGCTGACCAAACTCAGCTGTATGTGACTTCTGAGACACCCCAGGATTGCAGGCTAGGTTGTAAATACCATTTCAGCCCTGTGACTTGAGTTCAGTCAGCAATGAACATGGGAATACAGGTGCAGAGAGTAATTGGATCATCATTTCCATTTAAATGAAACTGCAAGAGTCTGTGAGTTCAGGATATGAGTAGGGTAAGCCCTTGTGTTATAGGAACCAGTTTGGGAGATTGATGAGAGAGAAAATGCAAACAGAACCCATTACCAAATAAACGTTTTTTCTGATCCTCAGCACTGCCTTCATTTTTATTCATCCATCACCCATCCATTATCCACATTATCCTGCATCATTGATGCTAGCAGACTTTTCCTTAGCCACTTTTAATTCATACAGGAGCTTGTCTTGCATGTATTCACTTACCATCTTCTATGTTATGTGACATTTTAAAATCTGAACAGGATCAGCTTATCAGTCCCATTTTTTGTCTGTAGTACTGCCTTTAAAAAAGGCCAGTACATGAGAAGTGCATGTAAGTAAATTGCATGAGCTGTTACTGTGATTCTATTCCACCAAAGTTGTACTTCTTAACATTCTCATATTTCTCAAAAGGATTTTTGGTCATTTTTTAAATTTTAAAAAATATTTAATTTTTTATCACTGATAATTTTTTGGATCTTGTCTGCTTTGGAGGTCAAATTCAATTCATAGCTCTCCATAATTTCCTTCCTACAACTGTTATTTTGCTTGTTTCTCTCTAGTCTATTGATACCTTGCCGTTTCAGAAAGGGTATAAAAGACCTGGTAGTCCAATAATCTGTCTGTCATCTCTTTCAGGACCCCAAAGTGTGTCTCATCTGGTCTTTGGGCTCTGACTGTTTTATGGATTTTAAATTACACAAGACTTGTTCTGGAGAGGTTGCTAATGTCTCCAGTTTTTCACTGTCCACCCCAGGACACATTGTTTTCACTTCTGGCATCTCACCTTCCATTTTCCTTGCAAGATGAAGAATGTGTTTAATTTTTCTGCAATACCTTATTCTGTTGCAAAGTACTTTTCACTGCTCTTCTTTGGTTCAATGCCTCTTCCTACTTATCTTTTGTGTACTTCTGAAATCTTATGTTGGTTTCTTTACATTCATTTATTTTTGGTATTTTATTTCCCAATTATCGATTCAAGATTTTGTTATAATCACCTCCTCCTTGACTAACGCCTTTTTCCTTGCATGTCTCAAATGACTTAATCCTTCTCTCAGCAATGTATAACTTGATAGGCCAGCTAACCAGACTTTTGGTTTTTAATGTTTCCTCTTAAAAAGAATAATGTATTGCTCATCAAAGAGGCTGATGTGACAGAAGATAGCACAAGAGAGGTATAGGAGTGCAGAGGCCTCAGAGAACTGATTCCTGTGCCTGTATCCACAGCAGAGCACACATGCAGGCCAGAGATGGGTTGCTGGTTGCCATGGAGGGGATGGATAGGACAGCACCCCCTGGCATGCCAGAGCTGTTGGAGTGGTAATTAGAGGAGCTCATAATAGGACCAGAAACCTTTTAGCCATCTGTGTTAAGGTACCCAACACCCTTTTCAACCACTTTCCCTTAATTTGGCTGTTAGCTGTAATATTATTTGCAGTGTATTTGATCTGCATCATTGGTTCTGCTGCACTATTTGAAACACAGGATTAAACACAGCTTTGATAGAGTCATATTTGCCAGCATGAGTAAATAACATGCATGAACACATGGGCAGCATCTGGGATGCAGAGCCAGTAAGACTTGCTCACGGATGTTGTGGGGTGTGAAAGCTTGGGCAACTTCAGCAAAAGCAGCTAGGGACTAAGGGGTATTTTTCTGTCAGGGATACCAGGCCAGCCTTCGAGATTGCTAAACAGCATCTCTTGCAGCTTGATCCTGAGCTTTTAATCCAGTTTCCAACGCTGGTGATATCAGCCTGCCCTGAGGTAATGGAAACAGAAGGATCTGGCCGGTTGCTATCCCGTGACACAGTGTGCGGCACCGCGGAGGCTCTTACACTGAAATCGCCGTGGCACGGTATCGAGGACAGCAGCAGTGCCTCTTAACGAGGATTTTATTCCCCTTTGCCATGCCATTCATAATGCAGCAGTCTGGTTAAGCAGCACTGATAAGCTGGGTGGTTTGGCCCATGTATAATACTAATCCTCATAAAACTGACTCTGAAGTAATTGATAATTAAATCCCTGAACTGCTGTGATGGACTGCAAGTATTATGAGTGCATTGAGGGCTTTGCTAGTTTTACGTTATGCCAAGTAGAAAGTAAAATAATGATGAGTGCTCCCTCAAGTGTGATCTCTAAGTGCGATGCCTAAAGTGTGGTTGGATCAGTGATCCTTCTTCTTCAGTAGGATGTAGGACATGTGGTGGCATTGGCTGCAAATGCCTTATTAGGCAGTGCTGCTCCTTCGGTGGTGCTTTGCCCCAGGTGGGTCAGACAAGCAGCCTGACTGTAAAAAAAAGTGTTCTGCAAAGCAGGTAAAATAAGAAGTCATTGAATTATGATATACTTATAGGTGCCATAGAGTCTCTGAAATCTTAATATTTGTTTATTTTATGTAAATAGACTCTGCTCTTTCTATGGGAAACTTGTAAGTCAAAACAAGCATTGAAGCATACTGTGTCTATAACATGTAAAATATTAATATGTTTTCCTTGGTTATAAAGACTTCTTGAAGCAAGTGTGTTAGGATTTGCATTCATTAGCTGATTATTTTGATGGAATTAGTGTCTGATTTTGAAAAGTATAAAAGAGATCTCATCGTTAAAGCTTCACTTTAATTATGCTCATTAATTTAACTTAATTCTACATTTTTCCGTAGTTTTTAGGGTATTTTTTTCTCAGAGAGTGAGTTAATGAAATGTTACTTCCTTATCACCTCTCTGTGTATTAAACTTGTCAGTCCCGAGGGTTAGCTACTCCTCTCATTTCTAAGCAAGTCAACTTTCATTGAAGATAGAATTTATCCATAAATCAGGACTGCAATATTTGTCATTCCTCGGACAGACACAGATATATGCATCTATTTCTGTCTTTGCATATGTCTAATGTATTTCATCTCAAATGCCAAAATATGTCTACAGCTTTCTCCCAGCAGGAAAACTTTATTTTCATGTTTATTCTCAGGAATAAATAACCTAATAATGACCTATTAATTGAACATGTAAATTAGATTTGAAGATAGAAAAGAAGTTTTGAGGTAACTTCCTGCAATATTGCCTTACTGCTACTCCAGCTCTGTCTGTACTTGCAGTCTGAGGTACTTGGATTTGAACTGGCAAACTTCTTAACTGGTTAAGGAAAGAGGGACAAGGGAATAGTTCAGAGAGGAAAATGTTCTCTGTCCTGCATTAACCTGCAGATTTTTCAGTTCACACTCTCTACTTTCTTTGAGAGAGCAATCTGACTATACTTAATTAAAAAAAAAAAAAGTTTCAAAGGGACACACACACTTCCTCATGAATTTTTTTAAGGACATTGTCATCTTACTTGAGACATTGCCATCTGCCACCTCTCTGCTCCAGTTACTGTGTCTTCAAGGAACCAAACCCCATCATATTAGATGGGTTCTCTATATGACAGTTGTACCAAGCTGCCGTTTGTCAGAACAGTATGTGGAGCAATCTGGGTGTAGTGGCAGGCAAATGCTTCCTACCTTTCCTCCTTCCTGCTGAGAGCCAAGCGTTGTCTCTGGCTGGACATCCACAGCCCTTCTGAGCAGCCAGTGGGATGCAGCTGGACAGATGAGATGCAGCTCCAGTGCAGAGAAGTGTTCTGGCTGCTCTGGCTGCCAGTGGAGAATGCAATGAGTGAGACTCATGCATGGATGATTCCTGTGCTGCAAGCTTTTGAGGGATGCCGTGCTTTTCACAGTAGCTGCCAAGCGAACACGGACATTTGCAGCTTGAATGAGTTGTGAGATGACAAGTTGTTGGGGTGTTGAGAATGTGCTAACCAGCCTTGGTTTGCCTGGGAGCTGGGAAGGCACAGAACAGTTTTTGGCGCTTTTAAATCCGAGTGGTGAGGAGGTGAGTATTTACTACCATATGATGGTGGACTGACCCATCAGAAGTTAATCAGTGTTCAGCAGTGACAACTGTTTGGCCTTTGGAACTGACCTGTCCCAGGCTTGATGGTATTTGGATGAGAAACCATCAGGGCAGCTGGGCTCAACCTGCTCACTGCTGTTTAGGTGTAAATCATTAAAGCCTCTGTTTTAAAGCGCCTTTCCTCAGTTCTTGTTTGGAGAGAAGTTAGGTCTGTACAGGGAAACCACAAATGTAGTGGCACCAGAAAAGATTTCTCACTTGCGTGATTTGTTTTCAATCTGCAAAGATACCAATGTTTGGGTTAACTCTGAGCTGGGTTAACTCAACTTATATTATCTCTGACTGATGCGGTGACGTTGGAGATAAGTTCTTTACCCCAGATTTCCCAATATGCAATGAGAATAGTGATGTTCAGATCATCAGTAAGTGAAAGAAAATGCCATCTAATGATTAAAGTTTTAGCAGGAACGCTGGTTAAAAAAAAAAAAAAAAAAAAGGGAAAGCAAAAAAACCCAAAAACCCTACAACCAGATAACAAAGACTTGCCAAGGATCCCTGAATTATGGAGTTTTAAAGTCTTGAGCTGCTACTCTTTTTCATAAGAACATATCTGTATAACTTGTTTCTTTAATTTTTCATTCATTTCAGCTAAAACATATTTCAAATTTCACAGAGAAATTACATGAAAGTTGCTTTTTACCCGTGCATGAAGATGCAATTCTTATGCAGTGGGGATGCATAAGTGAAGTTCAGACTTTTAACAAAGTCTCCCCAGGCACATCTAGTTTGTGTCAATCAGTCCCTAACTCAAAATGTTTTTATGTTTCTGGATGGGAACAGCTTGAAGTGTCATAGAAAATCACTTGTGTGCATACGGACAACAATACTTAATTCTATAATTAGCTTCAGGCAGTGAGACAACTAGAAAGATTTTTAAGCTTATTTTGGCAGATTTTCATTAAAATAAAAACTGCTCATTAAAATAACTTTTGTTTTGAACTCCCAGAACTTGTTTGCAGGGGTACTTCTATACTTTTAAGGAACAGAAATAAAGCAAAAAACATGCATGAGAAAACTTGATGAAGTTTAGAACAGAAAATGTGTACAATAGGCTGGTGTCTCATGTATTTTAATGAGAAAGAATACACAATATTACTTAGCTTTAAGGATTTGAATGCATCCGTAATGAGGATAATGTCCTGCCCCCAGGTCCTCATGGTACAGAAGAAGTGGATTACAAAGAAAAGAAGTGAAAAACAATTTAAGGATGATGATGAGTTCAAGATGCAAAATATTGTTAGTTCAGGGGGAATTGGAATTGAAGTCATAAACTAGAAACACACAAAAAAGTATGAGAAAAAAACACTGAATCCTCTGCCAAAGTCTGGAAGAATGACTTTGAAGAAAAGGTAAAGATGGTTGAGCAGTTTGTAACCAAAACCCTTTTGGTTTTAAGGAAATTCTTCTTTTCTTCTTCTTCTTCTTCTTCTTCTTCTTCATTCATCATGCTTGGTCACAAACTGCAGATAACAGTCAGTCTGGGGACTTGATGTGGGCATCCCTGTGGCTGAGTTGGGGACCTGGGAGTCTCAGGTGAGCCACACTGCTCTAGGCCAAGCATGTTTGACATTCTTTTTAAATAAAGCCATTTCTAACTTTATTCCACTGCCCCAGTGGAATTTCCCCTGTTTTGTAGCAGGAAGTCTGTGATATTTATAGTTTGTTGCTGTAAAATGGAAATATCTCTCCCTCCACCTCAATTTTCAGAGATGCTTAAGAAAAAGAAATCTCAGCTTATGTAGTCCAGGTGCATTTTTTGGAAACCTGCAAAACCCACGAGAGACAGCCCCATATCTTCTCCCTGCTGCCACTGAGCTGGGCAGTTCCTTGCACCTGCAGGAGCCATGAGTACTTGTCTTGCCTTCAGATCTGGAGGGTGCCTGGGCTTGGTCCTGTCACTGGTGCAGCACACGGAGTATTTTGTAGTGGGTAGGGAAGAAGTCTTGGCTTTGGAAGCAGTCTGGGTGCTTTGCAGCTGGCCATAAATCAGCTGTAGTAGACCACTGTCAAAGCAGCTCTGCACAAACCTGGCAGTGAACTGATGGTGACCGTCACTGCCTATCTCTTCTCTGTGGTAAGTGCCTGTTCTGCTCTTCACCTGCACCTGGAACCCATGGCTACCTTTGAGCCCCTCTTCACAATATCCAAAGGAAGCCACATTCAGGATCATAGTCCAAAATTGCCTCTGCTGGTGCCAGGGATGGGGAGTCAATGGGAATTTTAGTAGTCTTTTATTACTCACTATAGATATTTGTTATTTTCATTTGGGTTACTCTGCACAGCATATACTTCTGGGCTGGCAAAGGTGCTGCAGACATCCATCTCCTTGTGCCTTAATAAAGAGCTCAACCTGGGGAAAGGGGGTACAAAAATGCATTTTTAAGAGCCTAGAATATATAAATTGTTTTATTCGTTGAGCAAGGAGCATTTTTTAGATCTTTGCAGGAATGTGTTTTATAGGAGAACAAAACTCTTTTTAGCTGGGTGTTACACCTATTTCTGTTTCAAAAGGAAAGGCTTAGTTACATTACATAAAGCTTAGCATTAGTATTGTGATGAGGTACACAAATATCTTTCAAAATCCCTGTAACATTCTTCTGCTCAAAGGAGTTAGTCTTGTTTTCTCTAAAGTCTTCTCAAAGTGAAATGCTTCATTAAAATTAATAAGGCTGTGACCTACATAGTTTACAAAAGAATTAAATACTGTAATAATATGACCGTATTCTTACTGTGCAGTTAATTTGTATTTTTCTTTATATTATGACTGTTTACGTCTTCCTTTGAAGTTTGTGTCGGGCTAGTGTACAAATAATGTTCACTGAATAACAACAGAAAAAGGGTGACTTTGTGGCCTTTTCTGACAGAATATGTCGACAGCTTTTAATGTTGCCTTTTCTCCTATCCCACTGGTCCTGATTAAACACTCTAACATCAGGTTTTGGAGATTGTTGTTAATATTTTTTTAAAAAAATATGTATTTTTGCTGCACAGAATTCCACAAGGAACAGGAATCTGGTATTCTCAAATCTAGGAAGAAAAAGTTCTGTACAAATTTATGTACACTTGAGGTCTGGAGTCACTTGGTATCCAGATCTTCCAGCCAAAAGCAAAATCTAATCTTTGGCCCTTGACCTTGAAGGCAAGACTGCCATGATCATGGACCTTTGGCCTGTGAAGGGAAAGAGGAACATTTGTGAATCTGTGTTCTGTATTTGCCTAGAAAAGTTTGCCTAAGCAAGAGCAGCAGCGTACAGGTTAGGACAGAAGCTGAGGACAGGTGAGAGGTTGGTAAGCACAGGCAGGCACCACAGCTGAACTGCTGCTGTGGTCTAACTCCAGGTGTCATAAATCTGCTGCTGGCACGTGTCTGAGACCTGGTGGATGTCACTCACGTGGGCTGATGTCTTAGCAAGGAGAAGTCCACCAGTAGAAATGGCCAGTGGTATATTAAAAAAGTTAGACTTTACAGGTCATGTCCTTGTTCCCAGGCTTGGCGCAAGAAAAGGGAATTTTTTTTAGTGGAATTTGAAAGAAGAACTTCAAAGAACTGTTTTCTTTGATGAAATACAAAGAAGTTCTGTGTCCTTGAAGAGGATTGTTGCTGGTTTACAATACTTTCCAAAACTGGAAGTTATGCGTAGCATTTGTCTCTGTGAGTTTTTTTTAATTGGCACACAATAATTGTAAAATTAGAAAGTGGTACAACATTGAAGAAGATAATATAAAAAAAATTCGTAGCAGTGTTGAACTATGTTACTTTGCTGGAAGTTTGAGCTATGCCCCATGGGTACTTGGCACATTTCACCTTTTAAAAATGATTGTGACCTGAAATTTTTACACCAAATATCTTCTCAGTGCAGCAAAAAATAAGACATCACTGCAGTCTGATCAGCTCTTTAAACTTGTATTCAGTCTTAGTACTGCCTTTATGTAGCTGGGAGATACAGGTAATGGTCAGTGTCTCACAGTTAATTTATTTAACAAAAATTTTTTCTTTTTCCTTCTTTCAGTTGATCTTAAGAAAGGATCATGTCCAAGTGCTGCAAAATCAAATCTCCCCAAGCCCTGCCCGTCTGGACTTCGTCCCCCAGGTTATTCACGGTTGCCAGCAGCTAAGCTGGCTGCATTTGGGTTTGTCAGGAGCTCGAGCGTGTCCTCTGTCTCCAGCAACCAGTCGAACGACAGCGCTCAGAGTGACCAGAGCAGGACAACTAACCGTAAGTCCCAAAAGTGCCCTTCTTTCTGGAGGGCTATTAAACAGATGTGTTCCAGGATTGTCCAGACTGTCATTTCCAGATAGTTCAGAACTAATGAAATCTGTGCAGTACTTGCTAGTCTCTTCTGTGCCACTGACTTCAGTTTGGTATCTCGATTGCCCAGTAAAGTTTTAAAAAATATTAATAATAATTATTAGATATTAATAGACAAGCATGAAGTTGTAACAACTGTTTAAAATATTAATGGTAACACATGAATAGAGCCTGAATGTTGAGGAGATTGTTTTCTCTGCTACAGAGAAAATTCCATTAAGAGTGAATCTGAGACATTCTTTCTTACATTTTGTTTTTACCTGGAACATGCCTTCTTACAAGCTGAAATAGTAAATAAACAGAGTGAACTGTCTTTGGCAAGTAAATGGCAGCCAATGCAGAACAGGACAAATATTATCTAAAATAGGAGATACAGTCTTTCTCATCTACTTTGCTTCTTAATTTTCAGTACAATAAATTCAGCCAGTGATATGAAAAATTGAGCCAGTGATATGAAAGAGATCAGGACTGATATCGTAGTACATCTACCAGACTTTGAATGATCCCCTGGCAGAAATGTCATTCCAAATCCTATTTTCTGCAAAGGCTGTTAATTTTATTAAGCACAAAATAATACCCACTGGATTCTGCAGTCCTTGGGAAATGTGCACATGCCCTGGGCTCAGAGCAGAAAGGGGGATTGAGGGATTTTCATGCCCGTTTTTCTTTGAAGGCTGGATTGAGCCTGAGCTGTGTCAATATCAAAGCAAGTGGTATCAGCCCAAGAGGGGTGCAGACAGGGCCACCAGGTGACTTGAAGCAGCAGAGGAGACAAGATGCTGCAGGCTCCTAAATCTTTCACTGTTTGTATTAATTTGAAATTAATTAAAATAAATACAATTAGTATAGTTCAAAACCCTAAGGATTTTCTCTTTCCCCTTTACATGGGGTGATTGAAATGCAAAAGACTAATATCAGCAGGGACTTTTAACTTTTCCAATGATCCCAAACATGCTTGTATCTTGTTTTACTATTGGACTGATCACTCATTTTTGGTTATTTCCTGATAGACTTTACTTTGAGGTCAGTCAGCCTCTTTCGCTTTGTGCTTTTACCCTACATTTATGCCTTTGGAAAACTTCTCCTTTTATCTGGAGTTGTCACCTTTTAGTCTTTATTTACATAAAACCTGTGTTAAGGACAGAATTACCTGATATCTGATTAGATCTAAACTACGTCTCTGCAAGTAATATTGTTGTTTAGCAGTTTCAGGTGTGAATCTGAAAAAATGACAACTGTAGGTACAGCACTAGCCTTGAACACACTGGAGGAATACAGGTTCATACAAATCTAAAAGCAAAGTACTCCAGGCTGCAGATTTGAATCAATTGATTTCTAAAAAAAAAAACAAAACTGTGGAAGAAGCATTAGCAATCTCAGTCATAGAAAGTTACATCTGATTCTTCAGTTCTCTTAAAAGAAGTTTATTTAATTTCTATATTCTGGTGTATTTTTCTATTGTCTTTTTATATTAAGCCCATAAAAACTGAAACCACATTCCAGTCACTGGAAGGACATGGAAGCATTTGGTTTCAGCTGACTCAGCTGAGGAGAGTAGCACTCTTTAGTGTTGGGATCAGGATGATGTGACCATCTTGTGCATCTTACAAGACCAATTTTGATGGGTATGAAAATTACCCAGGGGAAGTGTTCTGCTTGTATAAATTCATGTGGAGATGAGCTCAGCCCATCACCTGATGAAAAACAGCACCTATAACTTTGCTCTTGCTGCTAAGTTAGATAACTCATGGAAGCTGTTGTCTGGTTTTCCTCCACCTCCATGTGAGAGCAAGAGAATGAGCCCCTCCCAAGGGTCATCTCTCTCATGTGGCTCTTGTGACATGCTCAGCTGTCTGGCTCAGAAATCTTTTACTACTCTGTAGTTCCAAAAGGATAGTGCTTTCTCCTGGACAGAAGTAAGGGAAGGAGAAGGTGTGTTGCCAAGCAGGTGAGGGCACATCTGGTGTTTAGAGTAAGTTGGTAAGTCATGACTGGGTAAGTCATCACACCAGGTAACACCTAACATCACCTGCTTGCTTTGGATTAAAGAAAACATGACTCCTGTTCATGGGGAAGATAGGTAGGAAGAAAAAATGTTTCCCCACTGTTAATTTATTAACTTTCATACAAATGTTATCTGTATGAAACTGTGCCATCTTTTTCTATTTATAGTCTGTGTGCTAGCAAGAGTTAAATTAGTTGCCCAGCACCCAGGGAGCACAAATTAGTTCCTTTCCATTCTACTGCAGCTTATTTAACTCAGAGCAGCAGTGCACTTCAACATGCATAGAAAGCATGCAGGGGAGAAGTACTGGCTCAGGAATCTTAGCATGACATATTATTTCTTCCCTTCACTGTCTGCTGGAAGAACAGTTTTATTTAAATTAAATAAATAGCTGATTCTGTAGCTACTACCTGAGATCATGTCTTTGACTAAATCAGGTCTCGTAGAGGGCAAGAAAAAGCTTTACTGTTAATTTCCTAGCTCAGTAGGGTAGAAAAATGCAAAATTATCTAGCTTTAGAAGTCTTCAAACATACATAACACAATTTTCTATTTAAGCACTATCTCTGCATGTCAGGGAGAAAAAAGTAGTTGATAACATCTTACAAGTGTGCATTTGTTATAAATAGAGGAGCTGCTACTGTTGTAAATCAAGGGGCTCATTTCAAAATCATGACATATTGTAGGTTACTGAAAAGCCAATGACTATGGCTAGGTGAGAGGAAAACACTGGTTTATTTTAGGGACAGAGTGTTTTGGGGTAAACAGTGATTCTTTAAGGGACCCCAGTGAGATCCTGTTCTTGCTTTTCTCTCCTCTGCCAGATGTCTTGTGGTGCTAGTTCTGCCTAAACACATTTCTTTTCAAAAGTCCCAGCTAGTGTCTCTGTCTAGGGAGTAAAACCCACTTGTTTAGAAAAAGGAGACATGATGTTTGTGTTGAGGGGAAGTTTGTTAATGGAGCTGCAATGCGGCAGCTTTGTTCTTCACCAGATTTCTCCCCTTCCTGTGACCCCTCTAAAAGCAGTACGTACATGTGCATGGAGCCTGTGCTGTGCTTCTTGACTGACTTCCTGGTGATACCTTGCATATTCAGATTGACTCAATTAAATGGATTTGAAGCTGTGGGACTGTGCTCTTTTCCCATGGTGAGACAGGACACACTGCTCAGTACTTGTCTGCTTGTCCTCGGGTCTTTCCTGGAGTTCTGTCCCAGGGTTGTGGGTGTCAGCCAGGCTGCTTTTTGCCAATAACATTCCAACAAGTGACAGTCTTGCCACCAGCTGCTAATCAGGATCAGTCATAATGGGGCCCTGGTCCTATGAGGTCCTGCCCAATTTTGTATTGAGGCTGAAGGAGCAGCCTCTGGGAAAGCCCAGGCTGAGGCTCAGCTCCTGGTCCTGCTACCAGTACTCCACAGATCTGTTCTGTGGCACAGATAGGTCCTGCCCACTAATATCTTTGTTTACAATTACCTGAAAAATTAAAATTTAGCCCCAGATCTGGTATACTACTTCTGAAGTTTTCAAAAGATGCCTGATATTTTAAACCATTATTCTTTATTTAGAAGAAGGGAGTTTTGTACATCTAAAAACTTATTGCTTGTTTGCAGTCTAAATTGACTAGAAATGAAAAATTGAGATACTTCAGTCTTAGATGAGTGTGAAGGTATTCTGCAAAATGTGAGAAAAAGTGAATGACTAGAAAGTCATGTTAAAGTTGAAACCACCAAGACTTGGTGTGGAGAGAAACAATTGTGTAAGCATAAAAAGAAACTTCCAATTTAAACAACCTGTAAAAAAATACTTAACTTTGTGTATTTTCCTTTGGAATTTTAAATGAACTATATGGAAGGTTTCCCTCTGTCTGCTCCAATAAAATTTGCATGAGAGGTTCACATCATCCACCAAAGGCCCACAGTGGTGGGATGTGGTTCCCAGGATTATCTTGTGATTCTGCAGTGAGGTAACACGATGCTTAGACTGTACCTTCTGTTTTACTGGTTTGAGCAGCTCAGAGTTCTCTTGCCTGTATCTGCATTTTGAGTGACCAGCTGAATGTCCCGCTCACACAATCAGCTTTATGTCCTTCATCAGCATAGACTCTAACTTGCTGTAAGTACCACGTGGGAAAGAGTTTGTCAGGCCCTGTGGAAGAATTTGATGTGTGGAGGATAGGAAGAAGGGTGGATTGTTTAGAATGAGTTAAGGTATGCTAACTGCTATGAGTTCAGGAGATGCAAGAATGTTGGTATAATATCAGGAAATACTTCATAGTCACAAGGCCTACTAGTCTGTTAAATAATCTTCCAACTCAAGAGATGAAATCCCTGTTGCTTAAGATTCTTTAAATAGAACAATGGCATGATGTTAGAGGCAATTCTTCTCCGTCAACATGCTAGACTAAAAGACATAATGCTATTCAATATCTACCCACAGCTCTGAGTGCTGAAGCAATTTATTTTGGGAGTGAACAAGAAAATGGTGATGAATATTTCAAAACTTGTTTTAGTGTCTATTGTTTAGTTAAAAATGATAGAAAGATGAAACTGCATGTTTTATTAATGTAAGCCTCCATGATCCTTTCTTCAATATATATATTTCTCACTGGTTTTGACCTTGAATTGCCTGGCCTTGCTAAATGTTGAATTTCCATTCTAATAAGCAAAAATGTCAAAGTGTCAGATTCAGGTGGGTGGAGAATTGAAGAAATTAAAGTGAGCACAGAAGCCTTGAATAGATGCCTAATTACCTCCAAAATGGGTAGAATGTTCAAAATTGTCACATGGTAGACTGGTAAACAGTTGCTCTTAAATACATAAGTATTAGTTAATATGAAGAATTTCCTGTATGAAAATACTTTTCCAATTATATTTCTATGACTGATTTTCTGTTCAGTTTTCTA